TTTGAAAACTTTTACAAATAGTGTAAAAATTAAATTTCTGTAGCTTTTCCCAAATTGCATTTATTTACTTGTTTCATTGGTAAACACAAGTGGAGGTGTCTAAAACTGCAGCTACAGTTCCCCTTCTCACACGGAGCAGGGCGAGTTCAGTGGGACGGGGGGTCAGGCGGAGGGCCGGCTGGTGCGCAGTTTGGAGAGAGCAGCGCTGGGCAGCCCGAGGCGTAGAGCCCTTCTGAGGGTGTCCTCTTACCTCTCTGGGCAAGGCTCAGACCTTCATCCTGCTTCTGTTGTGGTCAAGCAGGTATTTGCAAACCCTTGAGCGCCTCTGATTTGCACATACAGAAAGGCTACTTTGGGCCAAGAAGGAACAGGGGATTTTTGGAAACTTGGGGAAAACTCTGTGTAGAGAAGGGTGCTCGTTACTTTGAAGGAGAGGAACAAACACGACCTTCGTGCAATAGCCACGGAGCTGCTTGGCTCGTGAGGCCTGGTGACACAACGGGATGACACAGATGTTTCCCATTTTAATGCTCAGGTGTGAAAGGTAGGACTTTGAAACAAAAAATCGATGTGAAGATTCCCTAAACGCTGAAAAACTTGCAAAATGTTGTTTTTCAGCCTTGACTCATGTTTTATTTTTTCCATAAGTACCCATCGCTGACCCTGGGATGGAGGTGAATGGGAGTGTGTGGGCTGCATGACGAACTCTAACTTCGGCCTAATAAAAGACTTGAGGAATCTGCCTGCCTGTATCCTGCAGACTAGAGGAGGATGCACTGGTGCCTGGTTTATTTTTTCTAAATCTGCTCGATGCATCTGTTTTGCACTCTGTATGTACCTTTATAGAATATGTAGGCTTTGCATTAGCTGGTTTATGAACTCTCGCACATCCTGAGATTATGCACTTCTGAAATGGGCTTCTCGCGTCCGGCAGTGATGACAGAGATGGGGCTTAGTGCTTCAGTTTCTGGAGTGCTTGTGCTCTTCATACCTACAGTCCCTGCGCCCATCTCTAGCGCTTCAGTCAGCTGGAAAGTGCTCTCTCAGTTCTGTGCTGGTGGGTGAGGGCTGGGTCTCCCGTTTGTCCTGAGGCCACCAGGCTGGGTCCTGGTAGCCACGGGCAGCGGAAAGCTCTTTGTGCACTGGTCCCCACAGATACTGCGTGGAGTGAAGGTCCACGTGTGGCTCCTCTGCCTGCGCAAGCCAAGGTGACTCAGCTCCCCTTAGCGAGAGGGTCACAAGTGCGCTCCGGCTCTTGTGCCTGAGCCTTTCCCGCAGGAACCCCGGCAGCGGCCCTGCGCCAGTCGTCTCTCGGTCACTGGGTACATGTGTCTCTCTGGAAGGGAGGAGCTGGGCCTTTTTTTAATGAAGGATTTTTTTCATTAACTTGATTAATTTCTGAGGGCGTGAATGCTTTTAACTGATGTACCAGTTCCTGTTTAATCTGCCTTAGATTCTTGCTATTATAGGATCAGACAGACTTGTTTTCTTTACAAAGCAGGTACTGTCTGTAGAAACGAAGCCCTGCGGGAGCTGCTCAGCTGCCTGTCGGAGTCCTCTGGGTTCCCCAGCCCCATCCCTCCCCTCCGGGCTGCGGGCAGATGCGACCACTTGATCCTCCTGAGCTTGAGCCAGGGCTGCCTCGCCACCCGTCCCCCAAGGGGGGATGTCTGGAGGAAGACTGATTTGACGATGCTCAGTTACAGCCTGCTGTTAATTGCGTTATGATTAGAAAATATTCCTCAGAGTAAGCTGCTTGGGCGGAGAAAACGAGCAGGCTTCTTGCTGCCATCGCTCCCCAACCTGCCATGACGCGCAGGGTAAGTGGGGCTTGGGCTGCGACGGGAGAGGGGCTGAGGCCTTCCAGATAAACTCTTGGAAGGAGGTGGGTTCCAAACACATGTGCGTGTCTCCTGGTCTTCACCTGGAGCTGTCTGTGAGTGTCTGGTGGTGGTGGCACGGCCCTGGGCGCCCGGCCGCACACTGGTACACGCAGGTATCCTTTGTGCTGCACCTGGAACTCTCATGAAGGCAAAACGCACAGGGCCCGGGGCGCTCCCTGTGCCGCAGAGGGGGTGCTGGGGATGTCCTGCACCTGAAGGGTGAAGGCACGAGTCCCTGAGCAGGGCAGAGCTGGTGGGAGCAGGGTCCCCACGCATCAGCACACTCGACGTACAGTGATCTTGGAAGATAAATCGGCTTTCTGCACTCTGCTGCAGCTGTTAAATCTGAATTTGTGAATGGCTTTATTTGATCCAAAACTTCATTTTTTTAATCATGAATAAACACTTGGCTTCAGGAGAGCTTTCTTGGCTTGCCTTTTGACATACAGCTTAGCACACAGGCTGCTGGATCATGCCGTTGCCCTGAGTCAGCCGGTCTGTTATGTGTTCGTTACTCATGTGTGTATCGAGGCTACAGCAATGGCCAGAATGTAGTGTTCAGGCTGCTGCTCCGTCTTGAAGATATTTTTTTTTTAACAGAAATCTCTGAAGTTTTCCAGCAACAAGGTGAGAGCCTGTAAGTGACTGTTGCTGTGTTGCTCCTCGTGAACGCATGTTGAAAACTGCTGGGTCTGCTCAGGGCTTGCTCAAAACACCCCAGCCTCTGCCCCTTGCCGAGCCGGGCTGCCGAGCTCTGCGTTTCCAGGCCAGGGACAAGCGCCCGTCTGTCTGTCCGCAGGCACACAGCACTCAGCAGGGTGGTGAGGTTTCCACATTTCGAGACATGGAGCATCAGCTGTTTTAAAGCAGTTTGCCGTTTTGCTGGTCGCACCAACTTTCTGCGGCCAGAGCAGAGAATCCCCGGTCCTTGCCCCCAGGAACTCTCGCGAGCGACTGCATTTCAGTCTCAACCTCGTCCCTGCGACGTGGCAGCCTCTGCCCTGGCACAGGCAGAAGCCTTCACCGGGCGGTGATTTGGCATCGTGCTTCTGTTGTGATGCTTCCTTCCTCCAAGTCTGAAAATCACAAAGAATGCAACTGGCCCGAGGGCTTGCTGCCACCTCCTCAACAAGGAAATGCATTTTTCCTGCTTAGACCAAATATTCTCAATCTGTAATCTGTCTGTAAAGGGTCAGCTTTTTGCAAAAACCATTTGAGGCACATTCTGCCGAGTCCGTGGACCTCACTGAGGCTTTGGTAGATGCAAGATAATAAGCCTGCAAGTGAAGTTGTGTGCTCTTGAAAACCTCGCCGTTCATCAGAAGGTAAATGAATAGATTCTCCTGTGAGATTACGTATAAACGTACTCTCTGTCAACGATAGGTAGTAGAGCCTTGTTGTGAGACATCCCAGTTTCTCAGGAGTGGGATGATTCTGGTAAATACTGATGGAGTTTATACAACCTGACTGCAGTCCTTCTCTGGAATATAGGCGTCAGGGCAGATGTTCGTGGTGTATTAAATCAGCTCTTTGAAGTCTCAAATGTATGGGCAACACTGAAGGTTATTCTGGATTCCAAATCTGGGCAAATCAGTGTCGCTTTGGTTCCATGCCTGTGGAAGAGGTGCTGCCACGTTTTCAGTGGTGTTGGAAATGCCATCATCTTCCCGCATTTGGTGTTGGCATTCTTGGTGTATTGTGCTGTGTAGTTGTAAGTTACAAACCTCCACTGTGAGGGGTTTTTAAAGGTCTTTGATCCTTTTGCTTCATAGCATTAATCCTGTTTGTCAAGAACATGGACTTGAGCCTGTGTGTCCTGTGGTTCCGCCTGGTCCACGTGAGTTGATTTGGCACAGACGTGTGTTAGGGCTGCTCAGACTTTTGAACTGCCTCAAACCGAATTGCCTTTGAAGTGTGGTGCAATGATGTTTTTGCAACTGAAAAGTGTAACTGTAGATCTCCATGCCATTTTTTCATTCATTTCTGTATCACTGAGTTGTTTCATGTGTCTTCTGGTTTCTTCACTTGATCTCGAAGACAAATAGGTGCTCCCTTTGAACTCTTCAAGGCTTCCACTGTGTAACTTGACTTACAGTTCAAGTACCTCTTGCATGCAGGGGTGCAGATGAGGACTCCTCTCTTTTGTCGTTTTTTGGTTTGAGAGGCACATCCCTCTCCAGCTGACGTGTCTTTTCAAGCCTGCCATCTGCCCTCGGTGTTAGTGGCTGGTATCTAGCGGGGCGGCCAGGCGACAGCAGTGTAGCACATGAGGCGTGGGGACCCTCGTTACCTTTTGGTAGCTGTGGTTTGGAGTGTGTTGTTTTGCACTTCTGAATTAGGAACGAGCATCTCGCCCGCTCTCGTTGCCTGGTCGGTCGTGGTCTGGTGCGCTCGGATACAGCCGCCCCCGGAGGGCTGGGGGGGCAGGGAGCCGTGCCTGGTCCTTCCAGAGGCACTGGCTGTCCCGAGGGCTCCGCAGCGCTGCCACCGCATGTGCTTGCTTCTGCAGCTCACAACCAGCAGCGGTCTGGGGTGGGAAGGGGAGTCTGCAGCGGGGGTGGCGAGGGGACGGGGGATGTCAGTTACCTCTGGAGGCAACGGGAGAAGGTGGCGTGGCTGCTCTGCCTCTTCATTAACAGCGACTGGAGCGCTGCGGCAGCAGTCGATGTCCTGAGGCAGTTGCAGGTATGTAGGAAAGCTTCTGTACGGCTTGCTCTCAAGGGGAAAATAATCCCGTTTTATAGATTGTGTTTGAAAAGTGGAGGCAGATGTTCTTCACGTGGCTCTCTCTGTAGGGACTCGTGGCAGATTAACCTACAGTAACCCACCCCGCATGGGGACTTAGAAGTCTGTAAGCCAGAGACTGAAGATTTATTATCATCACTGAAATTCATATCACGTCTGTCTTGGAGAAAATTCCCGCTCTTGCTTTGGGTTTGTTAACTTGACGGGTTTCTTCCAAAGCTATAGCTGCTGCTGGTCTTGCCTGCGGGGCCAGCCGGGAGCAGGAAAATTCCTGGCTATATTTAGAGGAAACCTGGAGCCTGTGCCTCGCCACTAATGCCGGTCTGTTCTGTGCCGCCTGCAGTAACCTCTCCCTCTTTCACTTTCTTCAAGGTAACAGAAGATAAGAGCACAGCTGTTCTCCTAGAGCTCTGGTCGCGAAGTCTGTAAACATCCTGACATGCTCCCCAGGAGAATCTGGAGGTGGCCGTGCGCATGGCAGGAGGACGAGTTTCCTTGTCAGCTCGCACTGCTTTTCATCTGGGACAGGTGACAGGCACCGGGACGTGGAGTTAGGAGGCTCTTCTGGTGTGAGGCTGGCAGGAAACTCTTAAGGATATCTTACCCTAGAATGAGAATTTGACAAGTCAGATACGGCAATGAACTAGGAGAACAGCAAAAGCCACAACTTGGAATGTATTTATTACTTAAAAGTTAGCTATTCTTGATAAAATCCCAAAAATTATTGCTGCTGCTTATTTTACTTACAGATGTCACACACTTGTTAATTTTAAAGCTACCGAACTTTTACTCGATACTGTACTCTGAGAAATGTAATTGGAGCAGGACATGCAATAGAATGAAATCATTGTAGAGTCTTAAGTACAATGGACTCACTTTTGTCTCTATTAAAACTTGGAAAATGTGCAACACATAACTACGTGGCTGTCGTTGCATATGTTAAAGCTTTTTCATGTCGTTTACTACCGAGCTGAGAGGATCAATGTTTTCAGGTACGTGAACAAGCAGCCACCTGGTAACCTGGGTGGGTTTGCGTCCTAAACGTGTGCCCCCTTAAGTCCCCTGTAACAGCGGGCAGCACAGCCGTGCCTTGCTCGTGCTGCGCGCGTGGAGGCGGTGGTTAGCGTAACAGCCTCAATGGGAGAGTGAGTTAACGTTTCGAACTAACTTTTGTGTTCACACCTAGTCAGCGAGTGTAATCTAAGGCCCCTTGAACACGTGTTGTTGGATAGAGAGGATCTTCATCCTTACACATGACCAGAAATGATTAGCAGTCTTAAAAAACAGGAAACAGCCTACAGCTTTGTACCAAATTTAGAGTACAAATGGTTTACAAACTAAAGGGACCTAGGGACAAGCTTTTGAAACTGTAGTGGTTAATTTTTTAGCTTTTGCATTAGTGTAGCTTTCCCTTGGGTTCCCTCAGTCTAGAAACATTAATTTGTGGTCATCTGTTGCTTCTGATGCTGGAGAAAGCAGTTCAGAGTTGTCCCTGCTAGGTAAAATGTTGTCTGCATGCAGAAGGTTACCTTCGAGCTACCGGATCGTTGCACAGATTCCCCTTCCTGCTTGTTCTTAATCTGTTGCAGCAAACACCGTGATGAACTATTGTCGAATGAGAAGAAGGAGTGGGTTGGAAAGCACGCAAGCTCGTGTTTTCCTGGTTCGTGCTGGTTCATATTGTGGTCTTTTGAATGTCAGCAAGAGAAGCCAAAGCTTCCCTTTTCTCTTTAACAACAACAAAGTTTAACAGGAGGCGTTCGACACCAAAAACCCCTTCTGCTGAGTCTCAGTAAGAGCGTACAATGAGTCGAATATGTTTCCCATAGAACAGTTGGAAGACTGCGGTATAAAACACGCAGGCTAAAATGCAGTGCTGAAATAGGACATCTGTCTCCCCAGAACGCTTTTGGCCACCTCTGCAAACAAATCAATGAGCTTCCTGTTTTCCAAAAATAAGTGCAAGAAGGACAGCAGTATATAGCAAAGGAATGTTCTCCCGCACCTTGTGTGAAGCCGTTGTGCGGCACTTGTTTACCTGGGCGTCCGCTCTGCCCATCCCGAAGCAGACTGCTCGCCTGGCCAAGATGCTCTTGTGCACTGAGTACTCCCACTGATGGAGAGAACAGTTCGACCTTTCTCAGCCCCTCTCTGTCCGTCTTCAGGAGTTTCTTTGTGGGCTTTTTTTCCTAGCGTCTTCTCGAGCTAGGCCTAGGGTTAGCTGATGGCTGTGTGAGGTAGTTTTTGTGTTTGCTGCTCATACAGTCCTTTATTGTAAGAAATTCCTGCCAAGAAGTGTTGCAAAGCTTTTTGGCTGCAGCGTTACAGCAGTTAGCTGAAAGGAGTTACAAGCAGCCTTCTGTCCATTTAAAAAATTAAAAAAAAAAAAGGGGGGCAAAATAAAAATAACCAACCCCTGACTCCCCCACCCTCTCAGAAAAGCGCTTTCTACTCCCGTCCCGCGAAGGGCTGCTCCTGCCTGCACGTGGAAAGGCCGCGCCATGGCTGGCGGAGATGCCAAGAGCAACAGGTGAGTGTGGGCTGCCTTCCTGGGCAGGCTAGCAGATGGCACTCAGGTCCCGCAAGCAGGCAGAAACATCCTTGGGAGCGAGCGTTCGGTCTCTGCTGGGTGCGAGAGAGACTTACGATACCTCACACTTGGGGCCACCGCTC